TTAGTTAGTTATGGAGACTGTCTCAAAAATAAAAGGCCTTGGGTGGGGATTTAGCTCAGAGGCGCAGCACTTGCTATGCAAAGTCCTGAGTTCGATCCTCAGTACAAAATAATAATTTGTAAAAAAAGACTGGAGATGTAGCTCATTGAAAAGCCTCTGAGTTCAATCCCCAGTTCTAAAATGAAAACAAAAAGAATTTCCTAATTTTCCAATCTGAAACTTATGCAATATGCCTCTGATTATTTCAAATTTTGAATTAGAATAAAAACTAAGGATTTTTAAAACTTCAGGGACAGGGATATAGCCTGGGGTGAAGCAACTGCCAAGTATGCACTGGGCTCAATCCCTATTACTGCCAAAAATGATTTTTTAAGAATTGCACTACAGTTTTCTACAGTACTCTTCTTTGTTTGGAGACAGGGCCTCATTACGTTGCCAGGCCAGCCTTGAACTTATATGTAGCCCAGGCTGGCCAGCAGTCCTTCTGCCTCAGTCTCCCAAGAGCTGGTACTAAAAACCTGCACCACCACATCCAACTTGAGTGTCTTATTACGAAGAGATGCCTCAAGGTGGACAAAGGAAAAAGTAGGAGTAAGATTGGATTGACAACCCAGGGAGAGTGAATGACATCCAGATAATTCTGCAATAGTAAAAATTCTTATTAAAAATCTGAAATATGGGCCAGGGATTTAGCTCAGTAGCACCACACCAGCCTCACAAGCATAAAGTCCTGAGTTCGATCCCCAGTACTGCAAAAAAAAAAAAAAATCTGAAATATGAGAGGTTTAGACTCTTTAGAAAAATCTACTAATATTTCCTATTGTGAACTTATAACTTTATATGAAAATTTTCTTAACACTGTTTCATGTCAGAGTAGCTTTACTTCATTTTATAGTAAGGAAGCTGAGGCATAGGCAAGATGATTGCTCACAATCACATAGTTTTAAAGTTTTCTGGCTCAATTTAACTAATTTTATTGCACAGATTCTTGATTGCAATTATTAGTCTTGCTGATTTTGTGTCGTTTCTTTGTAGTGTGTCAAAAGTAAGTTCACATTCCTTTGGCCATACTCACTGACTCTTGTGACCAAGAGTAAAATGCACAATCTCTGGCACTTTTTTCTACTCTACACAAGATAAAGCACATAAAGTATTCTAACAATACGCTGGCATATCTTCCAGTTTGTGGCAATGTAGTCTGTCAGTGTTACTCACTGTCAAGGATCCAGTTATTCAACTTTACACTCTGCGTTTGCAGACTTAATATTAAATGCATTTAAAGTAGATGAGCCGGGCCACTACCTGCCTCACAAGTACGGAAAGAAAAGAAAGAAAAGAAAAAAAGAAAGAAAGGAAGGAAGCAAGGGAGGGAGGGAGGGAGGGGGGGAAAGGAAGGAAGAAAAAGGAAGGAAGGAAGGAAGAAAAGAAAGGAAGAAAGGAAGAAAGGAAGAAAGGAAGGAAGAAAGAAAGAAAGAAAGAAAGAAAGAGAGAAAGAGAAAGAAAGAAGTGCTGTATTTTTAGAACTGTAGTATCATTTTGTGGGTCACTGATCCTCTTAAAGATATATATGTCTAGCCGGGTGTGGTGGCGCACACCTGTAATCCCGGCACTCGGGAGGCTGGGGCAAGAGGATCACTGTGAGTTCGAGAGCAGCCTGGGTTACTCAGTATATATTCTTAAAAAGACATATATATCTTTATGGTTTCTTTTTTGTTTTGTTTTGTTTTGTTTTGATACAGGGTCTCACTATGTAGTTGAGACTGACCTGGAACTCACTCATGTAGCCCAGGCTGGTCTTGAACTCACAGCGATCCTCCTGCCTCAGCCTCCCGAGTGCTGGGATTACAGGCGTGCACCACCAAGCCCGGCGTAGTTAATTCTTCAGAAAGTAAATGATGAATCGCTTCTCGGCCTTTTGGCTAAGATCAAGTGTAGAAAGTAAATGATGAGACTAAATTGAGATATTTATGAATAAAGCTGAATGCCTGCCACCTAACTTTTTAAAAAGCCAGGGTGGGGGAGCTCTGATTCATTGCTTTAGAGGGATATAGTAGTATATATTAAAACCAGTCGGGGGGCCGGGATTTAGCTCAGTGGTTCCATCGCCTGCTTCACAAGTGCAAGGTGCCAAGTTTGATATTGATACCTAGTACCAATAACTAAATAAATAAATGAAATAAAACCAGTGGGTACAAGAATAGTGAGTTCAAAGCCAGCGTGAACTATAAGAGACCCTGTCTCAAATAAAATAGAGCAGGATATTTAGCTAAGTGGTTTCACCACCTGCCTTGCAAGTGCAAGGGCCCAAGTTTGATTCCCAGTACCAAATAAATAAATAAATAAATGAAGGGCCGGGGATTTAGCTCAGCAGTTCGGTGGCTTGCCTGCAAGCGCAAGGACCCAAATTCAATCCCCGGTACCCAAAAAAAAAGATAAATAAATAAATAAATAAATGAATGAAAAGAAACACTGTCACTGAAGATGGTGGCTCATGCCTGTTATCTTAGCTATTGAGGATGCTGAGGCAAGAGCATCACAAGTTCTAGGTCAACTTGGGCAATTTAGCAAAGACATGTCACAAAATGATATAAAAACAGCTGGAGGACCAGGGATTTAGCTCAGTGGTTCCACTTCCTGCCTCGCAAGCACAAGGTCCCAAGTTCCATCCCTGGTACCAAAAAGAAAAAAATAAGTAAAAACAGCTGGGGATGTAGCTCTGTTATACAGTATCCCTGGATTTAATCCCCAGTACTACAAAAGCAAACCAAAAATATTTCAACTCCAAAAATATTGCTAAGTGAGGTATATTTTACTGGAGGCTCTTCCTCAAGACCCTCTTTAATTACCTCCGTTCTTTCTCCAGTTTCCCTCCCTAATGTAGTGGCCATATTTCTTTCTCTCTTCCATTTTTTTCTGGTCCCCTCCTCCACACCCACTTAGAATCCTACTTGCTGTACCTAACAAAACAAAAGCTCAAGAGTAGGGCAAAACTGGAACACCAACTGTTCTTGAAACATATTAAGAAAGTGAAAAGAAAAATTAGGTCCTGGTTTAAAAACAGGAATCTTAATACAATATTGTACTTTTTTTTTTCAATATTATACTTTTAAAGAAGGATAAGCCAGTAATCTTGGAATTATATTAGTTCAACTAATGAATATATAAAGCATATATCCTATCCAGTTTTTTCTCCAAAGACACTGTGATACGGAACCAATGTAATGATCAGGGTGTGGGACCCATAAGAAAAGTAATCCTGGGCCTGGCATGGTGGAGCACCCCTGTAATCCCTGCACTCGGGAGGCTGAGGCAGGAGGATCGCTGTGAGTTCGAGACCAGCCTGAGCTACATAGTGAGTTCCAGAGCAGTCTCAACTACGTAGTGAGACCCTGTCTCAAAAAACTAAAAAAAAAAGAAAAAGAAAAGTAATCCTGCATTTGTTTCAAGTTGTATTTAGTATTCACTACGTCCAATTAAGAGGCTAACTGGAGTTCCATTAGAAAATATATCAATTTAAAAAGCACACATCAAGTCAGGTGTGGTGACGCACGCCTGTAATACCAGCAACTCAGGAGGCTAAAGCAGGCGGATTGCTGTGAGTTTGAGGCCAGCCTCGCCTACACAGTGAGTTTAAGGCTAGCCTGAACTACAAAGTGAGACCCTGTCTCATGGGGAGAAAAAAAAAAAAAGCACCTATTGTGATTTTGATTGAGACTTGATTATGGTAAGAGCAATATTATTTTGGCTCACTTAGTTTCACAAAGCATTTAAAATTCTTTGTAGGTAGCACCTCGATCTTTTGTCAGCAATAGGACATGATTTACTTGCCAGAAAAGGAAAGTTGGGGAGAAAAAAAAAAGAATAGCAACTACAGCAAACATCTGACATCATTCATAGAGTCATGTACTCATAAGACAATGAGATTTAGGACCTAAATTACCACGAAGTAATAACTGATGATCATTTGTCCGCAGTGAGTTTGACAACATCATTTTTGAACTTCAGGTGCAATTTCGTGATTTTTCAACATATTTGACTTAGAAAAAAAAATGATATCCCATAAAAAATGACAAACTAGTCAGATACCAAAGGTAAAAAAACAAGATGTGCATTAGGATAAACAAGCCTAAATTTAGCACCCTAAATTACAGCAAGGAAAGCCCTCATACCACTATTCACAAGTCTCCGTTCAAGCAATTTATTTTTGGCAAGCCAAATCACAGCTGTCAAGACTTTTTTTTTTTCCCACCCCAAAATTACATAAATTATTCTGAAAAAAATATAGACATCTTCAACTTGGGGGAATAAGTTACAAACGCCGTGTGTCGTTATAAGTTTTTTTAAAAAGTCACACGGAAGGGGGTTTAAAAACAAAGGCAAACAAACAAACCCTGGAAGATGCAGCAGAGCCCCCTTGCTCCCGAAATAAAACTCCTGGTGGCTGTAACAGCAGCGGCAGCGCTACTCCCGACAGAAGTTTTCAGCTGTCACTTCTAACAGCTGAGCGCTTCCTAGGAGAGAAGCGACAGGCCGAGAAGAGAGGTGGTTGTGGGCGGTCTGAAGACTTAAGACTTGAAATTTTACCATCCGAGGGAAACCCTTCCACATTTCACCTGCACTTACGGGGCATCAAGCAAGCGTAGCTCCCCCACCCCCAACACACACTCACACCACCCTCGCGCCCCACCACGCTCAGATCAAACAGCTTCGGAAACCGACCACGCGCCCATGCTAGTCCCCGCAAACAGGTGGCTCGGAGCTGCGCTGCTCTGGGGATTAGGGCGCGACCCGCACCTGCGAGCTCCGCAGAGGCCTCACATCTAGGGCCAGGTCCACCCTGCCAGCTCGCTGGCTCTTCAGGTAGCAGGGCGCCTCAGCTCCTCCAGAAGACTGCTTGAGCCTCCTAGGGTCTCCAAGCTCTAGGACACACCAAGCATCCTGGGCCCGCGATGCCTCCCGGACCCTGTCACCTCGGGCCCCCCCGGGACCCCGGGCCTCACCCCCTCCTCCAGCTCATCCTCAGAGCCTGCGTCCTCTGGCTGGTCCAGGTCTATGTCAAACACTCCTGCCATGTCCTCAGCTTCCCTGTCTCGGAAGTCAGGTGCTAGGTAAAAGCCGTCCCGCCTCCGCCGTCGCCTCATGGGCCCGGACCCGCCGCAGACACCGTCGCTGCTGCCGCCATCACCGGCTGCTTCGGCTCAGTGCGTCTGCGCCTAGGCCCTAGACTGGCTCTTCAAGTTCAGCGCCGGAGCATGCGTATAGAGTTCCGTGAAGCCTAAGTATGGGCAACGGACATGCGTAGAACTAGCTCCACAGCCAATTACGGCAGGGACATGCGCACAAAACCAAGAGAAGCTGTTCTGGAAGCCTGGAGCATGCGTATCGTCGGCGTGAGCGATTTTGATGGACAGAGCATGCGTACCATATCCGAAGTTGATAAATTGAAATTGAACATGCGTGATTGACCTTTCTGAATTAAAAAAAAAAAAAAAAAAGCTAAATTCTTCAGGTAAAAACATGCGCATTCGTTCTCTGTGGCTTTTTAGGGGCTGAAAGTGAGCATGCGCATTGTAAGAAGGTTGATCCTCTGAAGTTCGAATTCGGCGGAAACCGCGGGACAGAGGGCTACAGGTGAGTGGATTTAATGAGGTCCTCCTAAGGGCCAGTTCCCAAGGAACAGTCTGGCCTTACTTGTTAACCTTGGGAAATCAAATAACCTTTCAGAGCCCCAGTTCCCTTATCTGTAAATATTTTATCTGTAAAATATTACCCAGTTTGCCAATTTGAAAATACTGTATAAGTGACAGAACTGAGTGTTGCATGGTCCTTATGTGAGGTCTTTATCAAAAATTGTCCCTTTGCTGTTAAAAATACAATCTGCCTTACTGTTTCATTGGTCTTTCTCCTGGTTACATCTTGGTTGTATTACCTGAATTAAACACAAAATCTTTTCCAAGTCTTAATTATAGTTATCAGGGCGGAAAACTGGTTGGTGGAAAGACAATGTCATTATTTTGAAGAGAGAAAATTAATGTTAATTGAATGTTTGTTGAACTGATTCTGATGAAGTACTAATTATTTCAGTCAGCATTTATTGTGTTTTGTTTAGTTTTAAGTGCATACTTAGGAAAATAGTGAATACAAATCACTTTTTGAAAACTATTGAGCTGTATATGAATGGATTTTCACACAACAAATCCAAGATCTCAGAACTATGGAAAGCAAGAGAAGAATTTCTTTGAATGATTGGCTCCTTAAACAGAGCTATTTCATTTATAATACTATATACATACACGGTACTTTAAATTTACTTTTTACTGATGTGTAATTAACACATACAGCATCTTTTTCTCATTCATAAGGTTGTGGTTCTCAAAGCCTGCATTTTTTTCTGTTACAGGTTGCTCACTTTTTGAAGGAACAGGCCTACTGCGTGGCTCAGCATGTCAATAGTAACAGTGCAGCTTGGTCAGTGTGGCAACCAGATTGGCTTTGAAGTGTTCGATGCTTTATTTACTGACTCACAGTGTTCCCAGGGATTGTGCTCTAAGAGAGAGAATGGAGCATATCAAGCATCTTGCAGAGAAAGATTCTTCAGGGAGGAAAATGGAGGTATGTGTGGTCTACAGTCCTCTCTTTTACTCTGACACAAACCTCTTCAAGGTCTGACCTTCCACAAGTGTCTGAACTTCATCCCTGCCCATCTCTCTGGGAAATTACTTTGCACTTGGTGCTCTGTTTCTATGTAAATAATCTTAGCTTTTCTAGGGGTGCCCCCCCCACAGCACATAAGCACGCTTAGATCTCACCAACCAACGAAATGCACTGGGATGTAGCTTAGTGTAGAATGCATGCCCAGTATGCTTGAGGCCATGGGTTTGAATCCTAGCACCATAATAAATAAATAAATTAATTAATTAATTTAAAAAATCAACCAAACAAGACTTATCTCTTGACTATAGCTTTTTGTTGTTGCTGTTTTTGGTAGTACTGAGGATTAAAGCCAGGGCCTCATGAGTGCTAGGTGAGTATTCTACCACGGAGCTACACCCCCAGCCTATCTTCTTTCTTACAGTTTTTGCCTTTTCAGTGAAGATTCTCAAAGGAGAGTCCTGTTTAACCAGTTATAATTCTGCTTCTGCCTCACAGTGCCACTGAAGCTGCCCTAAGAAATATTTCCAAAACCTCCCGATTACCCTGTTTTCTTTTCTTCACTTAACTTCATCACTGGGTTTGGTAACATTAACTATTAAACTCACTCCTCCTTCGGCTCTGAACTTTTCTATCCGGTATTTGCATCTCAGGCATAGTTCTCTCTGGACAATTTCAGTCACTTATAATGTGCTACATCTTTCTACATTAGTGACTCTCATACCTCTAGCACAGTCTTTCTTCTAAGCTGTGGACTGATTAGCGAACATCTCCACCCTCACTCCCATTTGAGCCTCAAACTGCCATCTCCATACCCAAGGTTTTCATTATCTTTTCTTTAAAACTTGAACTCAAGATCTGCTCATTTGGAGCCCTGTATATCTCTTGAAACAGTTCTGCCCTCTCCACTTTCACTGTCACTGCTTCAGAGCTGACTCTCACCTGCGCTGTTTCCACACACTTGGGATTTCCCTGCCTGGAATCTTGTGTGCATCTCATCTGTCCTCCTCACTGCTGTGTTTCTTTGTTTTGTTTTGTTTTTTGGTACCAGGGATCTAACCGTGTCCTTGTGCCAGCAAGGCAGGCAGCAGAACCACTGAGCTAAATCCTCAGCCCCTCACTGCTGTATTTAAAAAGACACCCATGGTCCGAGCTGTGTTTATGAGGGGTGAGCCTATGTGATTTTTAATTTTTAAATACATACTTTGGTGCTGTGTGTAAAGAGAGACTTGTTTATAGTAGATCAATGAACCATCTCATATAGGCATAGTTGTTGAAAATAAAGGCTTCTCTTTGATTTCAAAAAAATATATTTTTGCCTGGAGGCAGGAGGATCACTGTGAGTTCGAGACCAGCCTGGGCTGCATAGTGAGTTTCAGGTCAGTCTAAACTACATAGTGAGACCCTGTCTCAAAAAAAAACAGACATCCAGCTTTTCCTGCACTGCTTGAAATTTTTCAGTGCTTTATCACGTGCTTAAAAGGTACAGTCCAAGCACTTTAGCATTGCCTGCAAGGATTTCCAAGATCAGAGCTGTGCTGCCTTTCCATTCCCATCCATCCCTTCTACCCCAGTCCTCTCCATCTGACATCGATCTCCTCTGCTCTGTCATTTTTTTTTTTTTTGCTCTGATAATTCTGAGCTGTATGTTGTACCCATGATTTTTGTTTTGTTTTCTTTGGTACCGGGGATCAAGCTCGGGACCTTTCACTTGCAAGGCAGTTGGTAGAACCACTGAGCTAAATCCCCAGCCCCCATGGTATTTTTGTACATCTGAATATGCTGCTTCTTTGGTATGGATTTGTTATGGGGCATATATTGCACTATAATTAAGTGTTGATGTGCTTTGTTTTTGTTGTTTTTCTGTTTGGCAGTACTAGATTGAGCCTAGGAATAATCTACTACTGAGCTACATTACCATCCCCTTTTTAATTTTAGTTTTAAGACAAGGTCTCACTAAGTTGCCCACACTGGCCTTGAACATGTGATCCTCCTGCCTCAGCCATCCAAATAGCTGGGATTACAGGTGTGTGCCACCACACAGAGATGCAGGTCATCGTGTTTTATTTCTCCCACCAGTCCTTGAGGTTGCCTTCATCTCTTTATTCCCAGCACAGTACATGGCACGTAGTAAGCACCCCACAGATGTCTTTAGACCTGAACCAAGGGACCATGTTAGCTTGGAGTGCTTACCAGAATCCCTGGGCTTTACAGATATCTGCCTTTCCCTGCAGCTGCAGCATTCCTGTGCAGTATGACAGTTTTTTCCCCAACTTCTGGCTTTTTTATTTCCCTGAACCTAGGGCTGGGGATATAGCTCAGTGATCTAGAAGTTTATGCTCTAAGTTACCTAAATATGACATGAAATTTTTTTATTGTACTTTCCCTCTCTAGTTCCAATTGCCCGGGCTGTGCTTGTTGACATGGAACCTAAAGTTATCAATCACATGCTGTCAAAGGCTGCCCAGTCTGGCCAGTGGAAGTATGGTCAGCATGCATACTTCTGTCAAAAACAGGGTTCTGGAAACAACTGGGCATATGGGTAAGAATAATTCCTCATGATTTTCTGTTTCATTACAGTGGCACAGCCAATTAGTAGACAACTACAACTATACAGTTGATAGATTGATAGACTGAGAATATAATATTGAAATTTCTAAGGGCCAGGGATATGGCTCAGTGGTTCTGCCGCCTGCCTTGAAAGTGCAAGGACCCGAGTTCAATCTCTGGCACCAAAAAAAATCCCAATGATGAATATGATCATAGTGTATACCTAAAATGTACCAGGCTGGGGATTTAATTCAGTGGTGCTGCCACCTACCTCAAAATCATAAGGTCCTGAGTTCAATCCCTGGCACCCCCCAAAAAGAAACCCAACAAACTTAATAAAAAAATATTTAAATATTGAAATTACTATTTTTAAATTAGAATTTGACTTCATCCAGAAAAACTTACTCCATCTCTGGGCCTGAAAATGCATAATGATGAAACCACAAATATTCTGCAGCATAATTTTCCATTCTTCACTGCTGTGCTGCAAACTGACTTATTATCAACACAGTATCCTTACCTGGCAGTATCCCGATCTGCAGGAATACTACAAAGCAGTTGTTCCCATACTTGGCTGCACACTAGAATTTCATGGGATTCTCTGGAAAATCCTGATTCCTAAGGATCATTTCCAGAGAATCTGATTTAGTTTTGGGGCGAAGCTGGGATTTTTCAAAGCTCCCTAGGACTCTGATGTTCAGCATTAGAACCACTACTTTAGGACTATTGTTATGAATATCGAATTTTCAATTTTACTATAAATTAGTAGAAATACCTGTTGGTGGAAAGCTCCAGCTGAAGAAATGGCCGATATGCCAGGCATGGTAATGCCAGGCCTATGATCCCCGCATTCTGGGAGGCTGAGCTAGGAAGATTGCAGGTGTGAACCCAATCTGGGCAACTTGGCACCTTAACCAAATCCTCTCTCAAATTGTAAAAAATAAAAATAAAAAGGGCTGGGGATATAACTCAGTGCGAAGGCCCTGGATTCAATCCCCAGTACCACAAAAAAGGAAAAAAAAAAAAAAAAGGGTATAGCCTATTAACAAAAGGACTTCTGGATCCTATAAGTTCATTCCACTCTTCTTTCGGACCATTTCACCTGCTAAATATATTTAACTGGTGCATTTTAAACGTGGTCAGTGAGGGCCCCTGAACCAAAGCTTTAGAACGATCTCTCCAGCCTATATCTTTCACCTTTGCCTCACATCTCTCTGGTTAAATTGAAAGGTGTTTGTGTTTGTTTCTTTTACCCTTACATAGTTACTCTGTTCATGGACCCAAGCATAAGGAATCTATAATGAACCTAATCCAGAAGGAAGTGGAGAAATGTGACTCTTTGAATGGTTTCTTCATCATAATGAGTATGGCTGGGGGCACAGGATCAGGGCTGGGAGCCTTCCTTACACAGCAGCTACAAGATCACTATTCAAATGCTTTGAAAATGAATCAGATTATATGGCCTTATGGAACTGGTGAGGTATGAGCATATTAATTAACAATCTGTTTTCTTTGCAGTTGAAATGAATGGAAATAAAGATAGATCTGATCCTATCTTTGGAAATGTTAAATTATATCTTTAGGAAAGATTATAAATATGATACTTTCATGAATAATTCATCTAATTTTGCTTAAGTTTTTGCAGACATATGAGGTATCTGTCCTGTTTTTTAAAATTTCAAAAGCTTGGGCCAGGGATTTAGCTCAGTGGCGCTGCCCCTGCCTCAAAGCCCAAAGTCCTGAGTTCAATCCCCAGTACCAGGGAAAAAAAAAAAAAAGGAGGGCTGACTGTAGCTCAGTGCTCCGTGGGTTCACTCCTGAGTGCTCCCTGGTTCACTCCCTAGTACTAGGGGAAAAAAAGAAAAAAGGAGAGAGAGAGAGGGAGGAAAAAAAGGAAGGAATGAGCATCAGACAGGAGGAAAGGAAAGGAGAAAGAGAGAATAATCAGCCAGGTATGGTGGTGCACTCCTGTAATTCCGGCATTTGGGAGGCTGGGGCAGGAGGATTTCCATGAATTTGAGGCCAATATCCACTGCATAGTGAGACCCTGTCTCCAAGAAAAGAAAAAAATATGTGTGTTTAAGGAACAAAGAGATGAGACAAATCATTATAGGAAATGTTGTAGGAAGGAAGTGTAGTAATAGCCAATGTTTGTCTGCAAGGTATTCTCTAATATCACTGATCTTTACAACTAGAAGGCTGGCATAATTATTATCCCCATTTTACAAATGAGACTGCAGCATAGAGGGATTAAATAATTTGCCTGAAGTCATTAGGACTTGAACCTAAAGCATCTTGAACCTAGATGCCTTAAGAATCCACAGGTCTCTCTTTTGGGGTACTCCCCAGTACCTAAGGCCTCGTGCATGCTAGGAAAGCACTGAGCTATGTTCTCAGCCCTTTTTTCAAATTTAATCTTAAGATGGAGGCTTTGTAAATTGCTTAGACTGAATTTAAACTTGGGATCCTCTTTTTTGAGCCTCCCAGGTAACTGGGATTACAGCCGTCATGCCCAATTTAGAATGAATGATGTTAACCACTGTTCTCTCTGGCCTTATTTCTGACCTTTTCCTCTCCAGGTTATTGTTCAGAACTACAACTCCATTTTGACGCTCTCTCACTTGTACCGATCTTCAGATGCGCTCCTTGTTCATGAGAATGATGCTATCCATAAGATCTGTGCAAAATTGATGAATATCAAGCAGATCTCCTTTCGTGATTTAAATCAAGTCCTTGCACATCAGCTGGGAAGTGTGTTCCAGCCTACTTATTCTGGAGAAGGCTCGTGTCACTACAGGAGAAATCCACTAGGTATTAGTCTCTTTATGTTATTTATAGGAAAAGCTCATGTTTTGTTTTGTTTCTTAAGTCTCCTGTTCTGACAGCTTCAAAATTACTCTTTCTGACTCCTCCCTTCAATTCTCCCTCGTTTGAGAAACCTTCAAGCTGGTGTGATTGTTTTTTGTTTTTTGAGACAGGATCTCCTTCGGTAGGTCAGCCTGGCCTCGACTTTGTGGCAGCCCTCCTGCCTCAGCCTCCTGAGCTCTGGGATTACAGGCATATGCCGTCACACTTGGCAAGCTGATGTGGTTGTACACCACTGAGCTACATCCCAAACCTTTTTTATTTCTTCTTCTTCTTTTTTTTTTTTTTAGGTAGTGCAGAGACCCTGTATTTGATCCCCAATACTGTAAAAACAAATTTCCTTCAGACCTGCTTATATCTCTGACCTGTTTTACTGCAAAGTTTTCAGAAGTTGCTAAATTGCTCAAAAGAGTAGTATATACAACCACTGACATATCATTCAGGATTGATTTTTTTCTTTCTTATTTATTTGCAGAAATAGGGACCAAATGCAGGGCCTTGCCTATGGTAGGCAGATGCTCTTCCACTGAGATACATCCCTGATGTCTTTTTTCTTTTTTAATAGCCATTTTATTGGAATACAATTGACATACCATATAGTTCATCGATTTTAGGTGTACAATTCATTGGTTTTTAGCGTATTCATAATTCATACACACAGTCATCACAGAAAAACCTGGTACTTGTACCTTTTAGCAACCACTAATATTTCCTTTTCCCCCCTAGCAACTTCAATGCTAGTCAGCCACCAATCTCCTTCTTTCTCTTTCTCCTTCCTTCTCTCTCTCTCTCTCTCTCTCTCTCTCTCTCTCTTTCTCTCTGCCAGTATTGGGGCCTGAACTCAGGTCCTTACTTATACTAGGCAAGTATTTTGTCACTGACCTACATACCTAGCCCCTTTTCAATTTTATTTTGAGATAAGGTCACGCTGATTTATCTAAACCCATCTCTAACTTGTGATTTTCTTGCCTCAGCCTCCTAACTACCTGGGATTATGAATGGTGTGCAGCACCATGCCTGTTTCACCAATCTTTGTATCTGTATGGATTTATCTGTTCTGGGCATTTCGTATAGATGGACTTACACAATATGAAACCTTTTGTGCCTGGCTTTTTTCACTTTACACAGCGTTCTCAAGGTTCACCCAGATTGCAGTATGTGCTAGTACTTCATTCCTTTTGATGGCTGTTTAATATTCCATTATATGATATATCACATTTTATTTATTCATTCACCAGCTGATGGACACCTTTTTGGCTATGAGGAATAATACTGCTAATTACAGTGGTGCACACATTTTTGTGTGGCTATGTCTTCATTTCTCTGGCATATACATCTAGGAGTAGAATTGCCAGGTCATAGGTAGGTGGGTATGGCACCCACCTATAATCTTACTTAGCTATTTGTGAGACTGAGGCAAGAGGATCAAAAGTTTGAGGCCAGCCTGGGCAACAGAGCAATAACCCTGTCTCAAAATAAAAAAGAGAAAAGTCTAGAGATGTAGCTCAGTGATAGAATATAAAATAAATGTTTGAGTAACTGCCAAACTTTTCCAAAGTGAGTGTACCATTTCACAGTCCCAACAGCAGTGTATGAGGGCTCAGGTTCTCCACATCCTCACCCGGTTATGTCTTATGTATTATAACCGTTCTAAAGGGCTTGAACTTTTTATCTCTTTGTGATTTCAATTTGGCTCTTCCTGATAGCTAAAAACGTTGCATATTTTTTCCAATTGTTTTTTGACCATTTGGGTCATTCATCTGTGGAGAAATATTCATTCAGATTCTTTGCCTTTATTTATTAATTTATTTTTATTTATTTATTTATTTTTTTTTTTTTGCAGTGCTGGGGATTGAACCCAAAGCTTTGCCCATGCTATACCAGAACTGTACCACTGAGCTCTATTACCATCTCTGCCCATTTTTAGAAATTGTGTTCTTTTGCTATTGAGTTGTCTCAGGTTTTTTGGGGGGTTTTTTGTTTTGTTTTGTTTTGTTTTTGGTACCAGGGCTCAAGGCAGGTGTGTAGCACCACTGAGTTAAATCCCTGGCCCAACTTGTCTCAAATCCTGTTTGTTTGTTTGTTTTTCCGGTACCAGGGATTGAACTCAGGACCTTGTGCTTGTGAGACAGGTGCACTGCCAACTGAGCTAAATTTCCAGCCCTTTTTATATATATTCTTTATATATGCTGGATACAAGTCCCTTATCAGGTATCTGACTTGCAAAAATTTTCTTTCATTCTGTAGAGATTTTTTTCGCTTTCTGCATAAGACTTTTTCCCTTTTTAATCCTTGCTTCTGGCCTCCTTTCTGTTTTCCTCCTCCCCTTTTGGTCTCATAGATATGGCTGTCTAGTCCCCACATCCTGGGGACTTCTCACAGCCTGAATATCTAACAGCATTTTATAGTAGACAGCTCCTTTATTTGTCAGCCTGACGACTTCACTATCCTGCTGCTTCTCCTTCCTAACTACCCTGTCTTGTATTTGCTGACCAATTTTACCTCCTTTTGTCTCTGAAACATACATTTCTGCAATTCTTCTTCACCTCTTGTTAAATGGTGCCTTATCCATTCAGATCGTCTAAGTGCAATTGACTGTAATCTTTACCTCCATTTCTAATCTGTTTCTCAAATAGTTGCCTGTCCCTGTTTTTATTGCTTTTTTCTTTTTTTTATATACTGGGGATTGAACTCAGGTCCTTGTACTTGCGTGGCAGGCCTGGCACCACTGAGCTAAATGCCAGGCCCTTTTGTTGGTGTTTTCATTTTTTTTTTTCCTTTTTTTGGTACCAGGGATTGAACTCAGGACCTTGTGCTTATGAGGTAAGCACAATGCCACTGAGCTCAATCCCTGGCTTCTGTTGCTCTTTTTAGACAGGGTCTCACTACATAATCCAAGTTGGCCTCAAACTTGTGATCCTCCTGTTTCAGCCTCCTATGTGCTGGGATTACAGGCGTATTCTATTATGACCATCTTTTTCCTCCCCTCCTTCCCTCCTTTCCCTTCTCCTCCTCCCCCCTTTATTTTCCCCTTTCTTTTTTATTTTTATTTATTTTTTATTGAGTGTTGCTCTGTTGCCCAGGCTGGCCTAGAACTCCTGACCCTCAGTGATCCTGCTGCCTCAGCCTCGCAAGTAGTTGGGACTATAGATAGGCACCACCACACCTGGTTAAGGCTAGATTTTTTTTTCCAGTCCTGGGATTGAGCTCAGGATCTTTATACTGACCTATATCCCCATACCATTTTTATTTTTTATTTTGAGACAGGGTTTCACTAAGTCACTAAGTTGCCCAGGCTAGGCTGGAACTCTCAGTCCTCCTAAGTTGGTTTCCCAGAGTGCTGGGATTATAGTCAGTGAAGCACTATACCTGGTTGAGGACTGAAAGTTTTGTCTGGTTTGTTTATCACTCTTGTTCTAGTGCCTCAGACAGTGCAGAGTGAATAGTAAGCACTCAGTGAAATCTTCGTTGGGTGGAGAGTAAGTGGATCTCGGGTTTACAGAAGAGGTCGGGGCTAGGACATAAATGTGGAGGCCTGAGAAGCTGGCTTGCCAGTGGGGTGTTCTAGTGATCAGGCTCTGAGCTAATCAGTGCCTAGGATTTTTCCAGAAAGAAAGGTGATGGGTGAATTGAGAAGGCAGGAATATCATACTCCTGATAAGTAAGAGACTGAGAACATTTTCTCAGACAACGTTTAGTAAACACAGAATGACGTGAAAAGCATATTAGCTCTTACGTTTTCTGTTTTCCTTGGGTTTAGCTAGATGTTTGTTCACATTTCCAGTTAGTCAGCTTCTGAGTTCTCCTTTCCTTTTTGGTGAAGTGGCTTTAGGTGGTTCTGTTTCGTTTTTAGCACTACTGGGGATTGAACTCAGGGAGCTTTGAGCTTTATCCACAGCCCTTTTTATTTTTTATTTTCAGACAGGGTCTCGCTAAGTGACTCAGGCTTGCCTGGGACTTGCAGTCTTTCTGCCTCTGTCTCTAGGATTCCAGGCATGTGCCGCCATGCTTGGCTTTGCTTGCTTGCTTGCTTTTTGTTCTCCAGTGCTAAGGGTCAGGCACTGGGCCTTGTACATGCTAGGCAAATGCTCCATCACTGAGCTATACCCCTGCCTGCAAAGTGTGTTTTCTCGCCCATGCTAAAATGGGTACTAAAACAAAGCAAAGGGTTAGTCTGCAATAGACATGATCTCTGAAATTTTATTATTTTGAAGTTTTAAGCAGTTCTGGCTTTGGAGAAAACACATTTGACCCAGAAAACCATGAACTCATGATTCCTATAGGCCAGTGGCAACAGTGTGGAATAAAGACATGTTAGTTCAGATCTTTTTCTTTCTTCTTTACAGGAGACTTAATGGAGAATTTAGTTCCACATCCTGAATTCAAGATGCTGGGTGTTCGTAACATTCCTCAGATGTCTGAGAATTCACTGCCATATAGCGCCTTTACTTGGGCTGGCCTCCTGAAGCATCTGAGACAGATGCTCATTTCTCATGCAAAAATGGAAGAAGGTAAGGAGGTTCTTTAAAAAATATGCAGCCCACAAGCTGGGAAAAGTGCCTGCCTGAGCTCTGAGAATAAACTGGCTTGGGCCAGTTGAAATAAAGGCGCCTTCATCTGGTGGGGGGGGCCTCCTGCAGGGCTTGGCCAAGACACCCCAGGAGGGCCTCTTAGTCACGTCACCGCTTCATTACCAAAGAACACTTCAGATGAGGGCCATATATTTTTTTAAAGCTTTACTATATTTTAACCAAAGCAATATGTAAACATAGATTTACTTTGTTGTTGTTTTTGGTACTGGAGACAAACCCAGGGCCTCATTAGGCAAAGGTTCTACCAATGGGCTATATCCCCACCCTTTCTATTTTTAGAGACAAGGTCTTACTGAACAGCTCGGGCTGGCATCACACTTGGAATCCTTATGCCTCAGCTTTCTGAGTATCCCTGATTATAGGTCTGAACCACCATGCCCGCCAGTAAACATAGTTTTGAAAACCACCTAGTTAAAACTCATGCAAGGGCGAGGCTGAGGTGTGTCAGAATCTGGGTAGTGGAGCATGTGCTTTGCGTCCACAAAGACCCGGGTGCAGTTCCCAGCACCACAAAAAGTTAAAAAAAGAGAGAAAAAAAAATGTAAGTGTATATTTAATTATATACATGGTACTATATGTAAGTTACATATCACTTTTTCAAAGTGAAGTAATTATCCAGTATGAATTTGTAACAAGAACAGCTGTCTCCTCCTCGACACTGCCTCCTTGCACAGATGAAACTACTTTAGTGCTTTAGCTGTTTCTTCTAGAATCTGCCCCCATAGATATAAAATGTCTTGTGTCTACTTTTCTTATTGTATTTTCCAGTCTTAGAAATTATCCATTACCTTCCTAATGTGCAGTGTAATAGCTGAGTCTTCTTATACCCCTATGCGCGCGGGCGCGGGCGCGCACACACACACACACACATACACACACAATCGCTCACATTTGTCTTCTTTCTCTCAATTCAGTTGTAACATACTTTTAGATCAGTTTTCAGCATTTTTTTACTTTATGTAAATATTACTCACAGTTGAGCCATGTACTGTGTACACAGATTATGGTGTACCTTGTTTTACGTATGATTTTTTTCCTCCTAGAGTTGTTAATCGTACTCATTTGGTCACTGTTCCCTTTTCCTATCACTAATCTATCCCAAAACTTTCCTATAAAAAAGTTTTATGCATCCCTTGTCAACATGTTCAAACCCTAGGTCATCTGCTCTTTGCAGTATCAGCTTGGCCGTGTCTCTCAAAAGCCCTTGCCTTGTCCTGTATTATATCTCTTGCTTCTAGGATTTCAAGTCCTTCCCCTTTGTGGTTTCTTCCCTCATATTGATGGACCATAGCCTCCAGGAGCTTCCTAAGGAGGAATATAGGGAAGGTAAAATTTTTGAGCTGTTCATGCCATTATTCCGCTCTTCCACGGGAATGATTTGGCCAGGTATAGCCTAATAGGAATCATTTTCACCTGGTGAATTTCAAAGGCTTTGTGCTGTTGTCTTCCAGCTTCCGGCCTCCCTGTTGAGGAGCCACATACTGTTCCTTTTTATTTTTTACATGCATTGCTGGATTTAAAATTTGAATGATGCAGCCGGGCGTGGTGGCGCACACCTGTAATCCTAGCACCTGGGAGGCTGAGGCAGGAGAATCGCTGTGAGTTCGAGACCAGCCTGGGCTACTTAGTGAGTTCCAAGCCAGTCTCAACTACATAGTGAGACCCTGTGTCAAAAAACAAAAAAAAAAAAAATTTTTTTTTGAATGATGCTATATTGCCATGAACTAGTTAACTGCTTGATATGCCTGGATATTGTGGGAATGCTTTGTTTCATGTTACCTTCCTTTTACAAAAAGATGTGCCAGAGGATTAAGCAGATTACTCTAGGTCAAGCCAGGCGTGGTGGCACATGTCTGTAATCCCAGCACTCCAGAGGCAGAAGCAGGAAGATCACGAGTTTGAGGCCAGCCTGGGCTACATAATGAGTTCAAGGCCAGCCTGAACTACACAGCAAGATCCTGTCTCCAAAACAATTACTCTAGGTCACATAGTGGGTGTAGTCAAAGGGATTTAATTCACTTTTGGGGGGGTACCAGGGATTGAACTCAGGACCTTACGCTTGCAAGGCATGCACTGGAACCACTGGGCTAAATCCCCAGCCCCTTAATTCACTTTTGACACACCACAAGGAGGCATAAGATTATTTGTTTGTTTGTTTGTTTATTTTTGCTTTTTGAGACAGAGCCTCACTGTGTAGTTCAGCCTGGCCTTGAACTCACTGTGTAACCCAGCCTGGCCTCAAATTCACAGCAATCCTCCTGCCTCAGCCTCCCAAGTGCTGGGATTATAAGTATGCACAAAATGATTTTAGATTGTGGTGCCAGAGTGTGGAGAGAAGAGGAAAGTGCGTAGTAAAGTAGTGGCTTCTGAATGCTTTCGGCCACAGTGTTTGTTTTTTCTAGCAGCCCTGTTAATATCTCTAGGAATCCAGTGCCTCTCGAGGAGTGTGATACATTCTGTTATAAGGTGTGTTGTTTTGTTTTGTTTTTCTGGTACCGGGGATTGAACTCAGGACCTTGTGCTTGCAAGACAGATGGCAGCACCACTGAGCTAAATCCCTGGCTCCTAGGGTTCGTCTTGAGGCTGGTCTTATTCTCTGCCCCTGTCTCTTATGCTTCCTGTTCTCCACACACAGGAGACCCCCTCCTGAACCCCACAAAGTTACATCCCATTAGCACATCAGCACTGTTCCAGAAAGCTCCAGAACGTCAATTTTGCCTCCTTTATCCAAGCTTCTTGAGTACAGTTCCTTGCTCCTGGTATATTCAACAAACTGTAGTGCAGTAGACCTGGGATAACCGGCCAGCTGTTCTTCTCAAAAGGGAAAATCAGAAGCCACCCATGAGGCATTGGTTCCCAACACACTGGCCCTGTACATGCCGGCAGTTTCTTGAGAGCTTGTTAGGGATTCTAGCAGGGGAGCACAGCCACTTACATACCCTTGACCAAAGAAACGGTCCTCTTTCAGGGGTAGTTCTCTGTGAGAGTGTAGCTTTAGGAGGGACGCACATGGAGTGGTGAGAGAGGAAGGGGACACCCACCGAGGCAACCAGATCAGCCAAATCAACCCAAGACAATGGTAAGCAGTGCGGGGGCGGACGTCACAGCCAGATTACCCTCGCGTCCTGCTGGCAGTTTTTTTTGGCCATCCCGGGGATCGAACCCAGGACCTGGCATTTGCAAGGCAGGCATGGAGCCACTTGGCAGTTTCTTAATTAAATGTAAGACCTATGAATATTTCCCTTTTTCTTTTTCTTCCTCTTGGTAGGCATTGATTGGCAAGTGCAGCCTCCTTTACCAGGACTCCCACCTCTTGGCAAAATGTCTCTCACCAGGGAGCAGCGTTTTAACACTTCCCTTGCTAACTTGGTCATCTTGCGTGGGAGAGATGTGCAGAGCGCGAACCTGGGTAAGCAGACGTTAAGGAAAAAGTGAAGGTGTACATTTTGCACACGTGCAGGTGGACGTCCCTCAGCTGGGTTTGGTGGCACACATCTGGAATCCCAGCACTTTGGGAGGCTGAGGGTCAGAGGTTCAAGCCCAGCCCGAGCAACTTAGCCACTTGGTGAGACCCTGTGTCCAAAACATGTCCCTGTATTAATTCTTAGAGAAAGGAAGGTAATAATTACATGTTTCAGTGGCAAAGTGTAACCATTGTATCAATTTCTACGTGACCGGACACCAAAACAGAAGTGGTTTTAAAAACATAAAAAGTTTAACTCTTCCTTCTGCACATCCGGTAGTTCTGCTGTCCTTATCTCTTGGCTTCCTGCTTAGAGCCCAACACGCCTGCTTGGCTTCCAGCTGTCGAATCACACAGGACTGAGCCAGCGTGGTGGGCACACCTGGAAAGCAGCACTCCCGCAGGCTGAGACAGAAAGATCCTGGGAGCTGAAGACCAGTCCCCCCTCCCTCAGCAATATAATGAAACTTTGTCTCAGAAAAAACACAATAAAAGTGCCACAAATGCAGCTCAGTGGCAGAGTGCTTTCCAGGCGCTGGGTTCCATCCTTAGGGACAACAAAGAAGACATCCATAGGAACGCGCAGGGAGTCGCTCCCAGAGCCGAGTGGGCGGTTACATCTCTGCCCTGTGGGCTGGGGCGGAGTCATGGGCCTCACCGCCGGGGGCTGTGAGTGTAGTTAAAAGGTGGCATCCCAGGGTGGGGTTCGGCTCCGGGGTCATTTGCCTAGCACGTGGGAGGCCCTGAGTGTGATCCCGACCACTGCAGAGCAACCAGGGTGTCCTGTTACTAAAAGGGTGAACGGGTTGCTAAACAAGAGTGGTCTCTGTGACACGCACGGGAAGGTGGAAGAGCAATATTCTTTTTTTTGAGACAGGGCCTTGCTGTTCAGGCTGACTTTGAACTCACAGTTATCTTCCTGCCTCAGCCTCACTACTTACTCCTGGCAGAGCTGTATTCCTTCTTTTTTTTGGTTATTTTGAGACAGGGTCTCACTATGTAGTTGAGACTGACCTGGAACTCACTATGTAGCCCAGGCTGGTCTCGAACTCACAGTGATCCTCCTGCCTCAGCCTCCCAAGTGCTGGGATTACAGGCCTTGCACCACCACACCTGGCAGAACAGTATTCTTATCAGCTATTTTTCTTTGGCTGCTCCCTAAATTTATAATTTAGTCTTACCTCATGACTTAAGCAGTATCAAATCTGCTATATCTTGCTGTAGTATAAAAAAACTATATCTTGTAATACCTCTTAGAAAAAGAACTAATAATTAAAAATCGATCCTTTCAAGCCAGATTGATGTGAAACTCTCTTCATAGTTCTTCACTTTAAATTTTTTCCCCTGTATTGGGGATTGAACCCAGGGCCTTCACACTGACCTGCATCCCCAGCCTTTTGAAGGTATTCAGTCGCAAGACTGGGTCTAGCTAAATCACTGAGCTTCCTAGGCTGGGCTTGAACCTATTATCTTCCTGTCTCGGCCTCCCAGAGTGCTGGGATTACAGATACAGGTATGTACCACTATGTCTGGCTTTCACTTTAGATTTCATATTATGTTGTCCTTCTTTTGTGTGTATGTGTGATGTTAGGGGAAAGTACTCTATCACCGAGCTGTACCCACAGCTCACCATTTTAGATATTTAAATTTTTATCTATTATTTATTTTTGCTTTTTGTACCAGGGATTGGACTTGGACTTTGTGCTTGTGAGGCAGGTGGCCATACCACCGAGTTAAATCCCTGGCCCTTATTTTTTTAAGACAGGGTCTTGCTATGTAGTTCAGGCTGGCCTTGAACTTACTATGTAGCCCAGGCTGGTCTCAAATTCATGGCGATCCTCTTGTCTCAGCCTCCTAAGTACTAAGACTATAGGTGTGTGCCAGCACTCTCGGCTTTTAAAAAAATTTTTTAACAATATATAAAGTAAGCCAACTTCCAAAAATGTACCCAGTGCAAATGACACAAATGCACAAGGTGTTTTGTTTTTTGTTTTTTGGTTTTTTTTTGGTACTGTAGAGCTACATCCCCAATCCACACAAAGTGTTGTTGCAAAGGTATTTATCGCAACATCTTTCACACTAACACAATGTGGAAATACTCTAAATACCCAACACTAGGGAACTTCTTTTTTATTTTGGTACTGGGGATTAAACTCTGGTCCTTCTGCTTGCGAGGCAGGTGGCAGAACCACTGAGCTGAATCCCTGGCCCAGGAAACTTCTTAAATAAATGATGTCCTATTCATATAAGGAGCCTTTAAAGATGAGTGAGCTTTACTGATGTGCAGAGGTTCACAACACACAGGTGAAAGAAAAATACAGAGTACAGGAAAGAACGTGGGTAAAATCACACACGTAAAGAGAATACACAAAGTGAATGTTCACAGTCTCGAGTGGTGGCATTTCAGCTGTTCTGGTGACTTAATACTTTTCTTCTTACTCCTTTCAGAATGGTATGAATTATTACTACTCATTTTTAGACCACAAATACGGGTCATTTATTTAAAAGCAATATAGAAGACAGAGTAGGACCCGGCATAGCTGCGCACACCTGTAGTCCTAGCTCTCTTGGAGCCTGAGACAGAAGGACCACAAATTCGGGTCCAGCCTGGGCAATTTAGAGACTTGGCGAGACCCTGTCTCAAAACATGTAGTTCAGTGTGAAGGCCCTGTGTTCAATCCCTTGTAGTTCAGTGTGAAGGCCCTGTGTTCAATCCCCAGTACTACCAGGAAAAAAAAAAAAAAAGAGAGAGAAGGAGAAAAGGAAAAAATAGGGCCCAGGCTATAATTCAGTAGTAGAGCCCTTGCCTGTGTTGTTTGAGGCCTGGGGTCAGTCACCAGCACCACAAAAATAAACAAAAAGACTTTGATGAAATGGATGAAAAAGTATCTGTTCCTTACCTTGGTTTTCCAGTTCGTGACATGTGCTGTAAGTAATGCCCCGAGTTGTCTTCCTCCTCCAGAGGGGTTTAAGGACCCCGCGCTCTACACTTCCTGGTTAGGGCCCGCCGAGGCCTTCAGCGCGTGGAAAACCCAGCGAGCCTTTACCGGATACGAGAGGTCCGCAGCGTTGGTCAGCAATAGCCAGTTCTTCTTGAAGCCACTTGACAGGATTGTGGGCAAAGCATGGGATATGTTCGCTTCCAAGTAAGTAAAGAATAAGTCCAGAGCCTTCCTTCCGGTAGGCAGGTCAAACAGTGGTGGGATGTGAGGGACTTTGTTTCCTCATCCGTACAGTGGGTCTTTCCTAAGAAACCGTGGGGCTGGATCCACTGGGACAGCGGGGTAGAAGCCCAGGGCTTGGGCCACGCCGTTTCTGTTATGCTGATATTGTTGACCAAATGAGCACTTCCTAAACCAGATAAAATTAAAGCACAGATTTTACTAAAGACAGACACAATCAGATAGTTTTCAAAACTAAGGTCTGGGGGGCTGGGGATTTAGCTCAGTGGTTCCACCACCTGCCTCGCAAGCGCAAGGGCCTGAGTTCGCGATCCCTGGTACCAAAAAAAAAAAAAAGGTCTGGGCCGGGCGTGGTGGCGCGCACCTGTAACCCCAGCCCTTGGGAGGCTGAGGCAGACGGAGCACTGTGAATCTGAGGCCAGCCTGAGCTACATAGTGAGACCCAGTCTCAAAAAAAAAAAAGGGCCCTTGGGGGAACGGAAGAGGTTCTGATCTTCCTCGGTAATATACGCAGTATGTTCAAATCTGCTTGATACTAAGAAACGTTTCAGTAGCAATTTTTTTTTTTTTTTTTTTGAGACAGTATCTTGCTCTGTAGCCCAGGCTGGCCTGGAACTCATGGTGATCCTCTTGCCTCGGCCTCCCAGGTACTCGGAGTACAGGGAGTACAGGCCTGCACCACCGCACTCAGCTCCTGCCTTGAGCTCTGCCGGTTTGACAGTTACCGTCAGGGTCCAGTTCCTCAAATGACTGAGCGAGGGCTCCGCTTTGATTAGCCAGGCTTTCCCAGGGCCCAGTCCTGCGTGGCCATTCACAGCCCTCCTCTTCCTCGTCCTGCCGTGGAGGAGGCTCTGTCCTCTGCCGCGTCGTCCTCCTCACTGTCCCTAGGCGGCAGCACCATTACTGTCAGTTTAACTCGTGGCCGCCCTCGATCCTCCTGCCTGAGAGCCTGCGGGCCGGGAGGGAGGGAGAGGACCACCCTAGCGTAATTACAGGTTAACTGACGATGCCAGCCGAGCACTTGGGGGACCTCACTAAGTTCGTGGAATGGGGCTGGTGCGTTTCTAATTTAAAGCCTCGGAAGAATCTCTCGGGCGCCTTTTAGGGTTGGGTTTTGGGTGTCGCCCCTCACCCCCCACGTTGGCATGACCTGAACCTGGGGCATCGTGCATACGAGGAGGACACTCAGCCATGGAGCTGGACCCCGGCCTGCATTGTCATTCCCAGGGGAGCCGCTCTCTGTCTGCAGGGTGCCGAGTATGTGCTGGGCAGGAGCTGCGTCTGCACAGCCTCGTTTTATCTGTGTGCCTTGTGCTGTCCATTACTGTCACACTTTTGGACCCTCACAGGGCAGGGTGCTTGACAAAAGCTGCTGGTTCACCACTCTTTGAGTAAACAGTCCAAGATAAGACTTTTTTTTTCTGATTTTTGGTTTTTGAGACAGGGTCTTGCTATGTAGTTCAGGCTGGCCTCAAACTCATGGCAATCCTCCTGCCTCAGCCTCCTGAGTGCTAGGATTACAGGTGTGCACCACCATGTCCAGTCAATATAAGATTCCTAAGAGACTGATTCCTGATGTTTGAATGTTCATGAGCTAGAAAAAGTCTATTTATTTTTTCATTTTCCTCTTTTATCAGCATAGATTTGCAGTAATAATGAATACATTCATTATGGGGTATTGACACATACACATCCCCATCTTAATCCTTTTTACTTCCTCTTCCTCTCCCCTCCCCTCATCCTATTGTTTGATTTTAAGTTACTAATTTGCCTGAAATTGTTTATTTTACATTTTCTATGTTTTTTTTTTTCCCCCTAGAGCCTATATTCATCAGTACACAAAATTTGGAATTGAAGAAGAGGACTTTTTGGACAGTTTCACATTGTTAGAACAGGTTGTTGCCAGTTACCGTAACCTCTGATTTTGAACAAAGGAACAAAGTGCTATAATCAACTAAAATATTTTTAATAGTACTTTAGGACTGGGGATTTAGCTCAGTGGTTCTGCTGCCTGCCTCACAAGCGCAAGGTCCTGAGTTTGATTCCCAGGTACCACAGAAAAATAACTGTACTTTAAAGTGGGTTCTGTTAAAATACCAAAGTACAATGCTGATTCCATCCTGCATACTATATCCACAGAAACAAAGAAAACTTTTTTTTTTTTTTAACCAGGTGGTGGCACCTGCTTGTTACCTTAGCACTATGGGAGGCTGAGGCAGGAAGATTGTGAGTTCAAACCCAACTTAGGCAACTTAATGACTTAGAAAAAAAGGGTTGTTTTGTTGTTTTTGTGCAACACTGACTGGGCCTTTGCACTGAGCTACATCCTCGTCTCTATTTTGAGACAAAGTCTCAGTCATTAAATTTCTCAGGTTGGGCTTGAACTTGCAATCTTCCTGCCTCAGCCTCTCTGCTGGAATTATAGGTGTGGAGAAGAGCATGTTTTCAATGGAAACATCTAATTTATGTGTCCATTTTTTTTTTCTGGTACTGGGGATCAAACTCGGGGACTTGAACTTGTGAGGCAGGCAGCGGCACCACTGAGCTAAGTCCCCGACCCCTGATATGTCATTTATCCCAGCACTGGAGAGCCTCAGGCAGGAGGGTCACCGTAAGTTTGAGACCAACCTGGGCTACGTAGAAGTTCAAGGGCAGCCTGATCTTTATAGGGAGACCCTGTCTCCAATAAAAGAAGTGTTTCTGTAAAGACCTTTGTTTTGTTTTGTGGAGATAGGGTCTCTCCGTGTTGCCCTTGTTGGTCTTAAACTATGTACTAGGCTCAGATCAACCTCCTGCCTCAGCCTCCTGAATAGCTGGAGCTATAGGTGCACGCTACTA